CCAATATATATATATATATATATATATATATATATGTATGAAAACCATGATGGATAACTTTCTAATTACAGACAGGTACGAGCCTAGTTTGGAGTTAGCGTTGGAGGAAAGGGTGGAGGAGCTACGACATCGTTTACGAATCGAAGCCGCGGTTGTGGAAGGGGCTAAGAACGTGATACGTCTTTTACAAAGTGCCAAAGTCGCCGATAAGAAGGCCTTAACGGAGGTATGTATCATTTCCTGTTCAATACACGCGTTGATACGATGCCTGCGCCATATTGGAAATATATATATATATATATACGTCGTGTAATGAAAAGCTTTTGTATCGTTTGTGTGCACGTTGTACCCGGATACGCCGTCGAAAGAGAGCTATTGATAGGTATATTCTACTTAACAGACGCGTCGTCCCTTTGAAAGCCGCGTGTATCATTGTACAGCTTTCATACAGCCGCGCCAAGAATATTCATTCCCATCGCTTTCCATCTATAAAATCTCGCTCGAAGTCGGATGTACCGCGGAAATGAAATCCTGTTTCGTTTGAAAACGAAAGAATTGGATTCATCCGATAGATTAACTCAAAAAAGTAATGGAAAAAGGGATAAAAAGCAAAATAAATAATATTCTCGTAAAAACGAGAAAAATTGTATTATGGAGCGAAATATATATATATATTTTAATATAATAATTAATATAATATTATTAATTTATATATGTATATATTTTGGTCCATAATACAATTTTTCTCGTTTTTTACGCGAAAATATTATTTTATATATATATATTAATTATTATATTAAATTAATATTAAAATATAATAATATTATATATATAACCAAAATTCGTCATGAAGATTAATGATTGTTCGAAAAACGTGGACACGAAGCTCGTCATTCTGACGTAAGTACCATTGTGTCTACGTAAATCGAGAGAAACGAGAATTCGCCATATGGGTGATCTCGATACACGAGATATCGAAGTCGAGTGAACGCGTTCGACGTAAACGACTACGTCGAGTTTGAACGGGCAGTGGCGTATACGCCACCGGTTCTCGAAATAGAATTGCCTAATCCCCGCTACCCCATCGTCTTTCTATGACGCCTTTTCGGGTCGCGCTTAGTTACCACTTCTCGAGGGGAGAACCCAGTCGTAAGCAACGCGATAAACCAACGACATGTGCGCCAATCAACCGCGAACCGACCGCTCAACAAATGTCTGTATCAAGTACTCGGACATTCCTGGAGATATTCGTAGATAATTCACACTACCGCCAATAACAGTCACAAACTATGACCTGAATATACTGAAGACTGACACGATATTCCACCCAGAGTCGTACTACCGTTGGACGTCACTACTCTTCTGCGTACGATTCTGATACAACACATATTTCGAGAAGACTGACGTGTCTGTTCCGCGAGATATCGAAAGGAATACAGCTGT